TAACTTAATCAGATTAAGATATTTATTAGCAACAAAATTATATTTATCAAGTTGCATCAGCTGACATGGCACAACCAGAGCCAACATGCACTGATGTCATCATGCAGTGAGGAAGATTAGACCTTCTGTAATTACTGGAAGTCTACTTCTCTTCTAACTAAAACTGTTGCAGAGCAAACTTGTTTTTTTCTTAAATGAAGAGCGACATCAGACGAAACACGTCAGGATGAGAATCGGACAGAACCAAACGTTTGCACAAAACTGTAGCTTTTTGTGACTCATCAGCTCCAAGAAAAAGTTTTGGGATTCTCAACCTGTTTAGACTCGTCCTGTGCAAACCTCCTGCCCAGAAGTCTAACACACAGAGGAGTTCTTTTCTGAAAGACAAACAGAAACAACGCAGCAAACCACTTCAGTGCGGTCCTGACAGACACCCTCACGTGCAGAGTTCCTCTGCCCAGTCCTACCATCACTTGTGATCTGAACTTCAAAACAGATGAAGACAGAAAAGCATCCTGAAGTGAACGGAGCGCTGCAGCTTTTCTGAGAACCCAACTCAGACTTGAACAAGCAAACCAGCCACTTCACCGCAAACTGTCCCGACGCACGGAAGCACAGACGCCAACAGAACTCCATCATTTGGAAGGAGCAAGGATGAAACGCTGATGTCTCCAAACCCAACACCCTCCACTCCACGACTTGCTCTGTGAAAACTTGTGCATGCACACTACAAACTGGATCAAAGACCAGTGGAGTCCATCTACCACTGGAAACAAGCCCACCTTGCTGATGATGAGACACTTCTCTTGTTTTGTTCCTGCTGGGATGGGACAGCTCTTATAAGTGTCCCACAGCACCCTGCCTCAAGGACCACAATCATAAGCCTTCTCCAAGTCTATGAAACACACGTAGCCTGAAGAGTCAAACTACCATGGCCCCCTCAGCAGCTTTGCAAGAGTGAAGATCTGGTTCACTGTTCCACAACCAGAACTAAAGCCACACCTGAATTTCTTACATCATCCCTTCCAGAACCCTGAAGTACTTTCCAGGGGAGGCTGAGAAGTGTAATCCCTCAGTAGTTGGAACACACTCTCCGGCCCCCCCTTTAAACATGGAAACCACTACCCCCAGTCTGCCACTCCACAGGTGTTGTTCCAGTCCTTGAACATGTTGAACATGGCAGCCCCATAATATCCAGTCCAGCTTCTCAGGGAGAAACTCATCCACATTTGGTGCACTTACATCAGTGAGCTCTGACATGATGATGGACTGGTCTTCTATAGTCTTCAGTCTCTGCCTATGAAAAGGAGGAAGAAGATGGATCCATGGGTGGATCAGGTTCATCACTGTTGGTATTGTTTTAGGTGTTAGCAGGTTTTCCAGATGTGCCCAGGTCTCCATCCTCTGGGTGAGGTTGCCGGCAGGTCACATCAGCTGTGCTTGGTTTAGTTTGGGAACTGCTGACCTGGACTGAAGAACTTGTCAGATGATCTTAGAAGATCTCCTTAAGCCTGCTGCCATGTTCTCCTCTGAGGAGTTAGGTCTTCGAATAGGTCCAGGAGGGACACCAGACCCTTGGCTCCTCATCAACACCCTTTAGCGCCTCCTGGAGGATTTGGGCCGTTTAATGAAATAATATACATTATTTAATAATAAATATACTTGAAGCTTTCCTCAGCCAATATCACAACAACCCATACGTTTTTATGAATTAAACCTTTTCTGATCATCGTTTCTGCTGTTTGTTTTCAGGAGGAACACTTCATTCAGTTTAAGTTTTTTTATGTTTATAACTAATTTTTCCATCCATCCATCATTATTTTTGCCTGCTTCTTCCTTTTCAGGTTGTGGGGGTCACTGGTGCCCAGGTGAAATTTTCATTCAACCTTTATTTCTACAGGTAAATCCCATTGAGCCTCCAGGACTCATTTACAAGAGAGACCTGATTTCAACAAAGAAAGATGACAACAATGGACAACAGCAACAACAATAAACAGTTATAAAAAGTCATACAATTTAATTTATTTTTTTTACAAATAAGATGGCTAAAAACAAGAAAAGTAACAAAAACAGCTAGATTCTAAGGCGAATGTAGAAAACTAAAAACAGGAACATGTCTGCATTGGTCCCTGCCAGGAGTCCAACAGATTCTTAAAGACACTTAGAGAGGTCAAAGGTCGAGAGCTTCAGATCTTTTTACAAGATATTCCAGGAAACAGGAGCGGAGTAGAAGGCCCTTTTGTCTAGTTCAGTCCTCACTGAGGGAACACTGCAGGTAATAATGTCCTGAGAGTGCACGCTGTAGCTGCACTCACGCAGAGACATGTAGGAGGAGATGTATGAAGGCTGCAGACCAGGAAGTGATTTAAAGATGAAAATGTACCAGTGGCAGTATCTGCGTGAAGTTAATTTTTTTTTGTTAGTAAATTAGTTTTTGAATGTCCAGAGGACCAGATTGAACTTTTTTGGATTAATGATGTCCAGTTAACCAGTGAATCCTGGGTGCAGTGGTGGGTACGGTAGTTACAGCCAGTTATGAATCTTAGTGCACCATGATAGACAGCATCCAACATCTGCAGCATCCAACATCTGCAGCATCCAACATGTGCAGCATCCAACATCTGCAGCATCCAACATCTGCAGGGTTCTTGTAGGAGCGTTCATGTAAATAATGTCACCGTAATCAATGGAGGGAAGGAAAGTCACAGATACAAGGTGTTTTCTAGCATTCAGGGTTAGACAGGATCTGGTTCTGAAAAAGAAACCCAGTTTAACTTTCAGTTTCTTTACCAAGTTTTCCACATGGAGCTTAAAAGAGAGATGTGAGTCGACCAAGATACCCAAATATTTATAGGAATCAACAAACTCAATGGGGACACCATTTGAGGATAAAATCGGAGGAAGAACTGCTGGGACCAACTTCCTATTTGAAAAAAGCATCCCTTTGGTTTTGTCAGCATTTAGGACAAGTTTGAGGCGGAACAAATCAGTCTGGATGTTGTTGAATGCAGAATTCAAAAGCTGGAAAGTCTCATCAACAGTTTTAGCTCGACAATAAACAACTGTGTCGTCAGCATAGAAATGTATTGATGCATTAGGGATGTTTTTACCTACATTATGTATGTAGATTGTAAAGAGGGTGGGTCCTAAGACTGAGCCATGTGGTACACCATTGTTGACTGTTAAATAACTGGAAGAAGTACCATTATGTTGGACACATTGTGTGAAATGTGTGCGAACATGACTTTTAGCTCAGACACTGGTTGAACTTCAAGTTGTTTTTAGTACAGTTTAGTAGTTTCTGTTGTATTCAGGCTGTAAGAGATGTGTCCACGGTTTGTTATAGTTGGAATGACAGATTTCACTTCAAACGGAACAGGTTGATGCAGCAAGCAGTAGCACCACAGCACCACCCGGTGGTGGAGCTCACACACTACAGCAGTAATCAACTGGAGCAGAGATGCAGAAGTTGAACAGATTAACTTTGAGTCAGTCTGGTTTAAAACAGATGCGAATCAACATTAGTCAACAAAAGTTACTCATTCAGTTTTACAGATGTTCATGTTAGGTTTGTTGTGGTAGTAGCTGAGCATCATTAACAACACAAACTGAGCACACATGAATGGTGGATGGCATCACGTCAAGTCTGACCAAAACTGAAGGATAACCAACATTTGTCATCAAAGAAGGAACTTTGTCTCAAACTGTCATGAAAGCTGGTGGGCCATAAGCCTGTAACAATTATTGTTCAAATTATACATAAACAATGTTTTGGTCAGTCAAGTGAATTTAATTTTTGGTACAAAATTTGAGCCCCAAAAAACTGAAAGCTTTAAAAATGTAACGTGAATGAACTTCACCAACAGACTGATTGATCAGTCTGTGCTCTGCAGCGTTCCTCTTCTCCAAACACGAGCAACAGGAAACTTTATTTAATACTTTCCAGATTATAATCCACATTAATCTCTCAAGTTTTAGCTTCTCTTCATTGGCTCCGTCACATTCACAATAGAATTCAAAATCTTACTTCTAACCTACAAAGCTCTCAACAACCTAGCTCCATCTTATATTACAGATCTTATTGTTCCATATTTTCTTAACAGAGCATTTCGCTCTCAGACTGCAGGTTTACTTGTGGTTCCTAGAGTTTGTAAAAACAGAATGGGAGGAAGATCTTCCAGTTCTCAGGCTCCTCTCTTGTGGAACCAACTTCCAGTTTCTGTCCGTGAGGCTGACACATTGTCCAGTTTTAAAACTTTCCTTTTTATAAATCCTATAGTTAGGGTTGGCTTGGGTTTCCTGAGCTATCCCTTAGTAGGGTTAGACTACTGGAGGACAAACTGACCTCATTTCATCAGATGAAGAGTTTGCATTTGGAATGTTCTATCTTGTGATCTTCATCTTTCCTCCTAGAGAAAACTCTGCGCGCCTCCATTCCTGACCTGCCATTGTGTATCTGGTCTTCTCAAACCCAGCAGCTCGAAGCAGATGACCGCTTGTCCTGAGCCTGGTTCTGTTAAAGGTTTATTCCTCATGAGGGAGTTTTTCCTCTCCACTATCGCCTTCATGCTTGCTCAGACAAAATGAAGACTGAACAGTCTGCTGGTTCCTCAGATAAATGACGTTATTTTATATGTGAATGTTTCGTCCTGAGACCGCTTCTGTTGGGACTTGGAGCTATAGAAATAAACTGAAATGGATCAGTCAGTTCTCTGCAAACAGGAACAGTAAATTGTATTTAATCCTTTTCCAGCTTGTAATCCACATTCGTTACCTTCTATTCTCATAAATGAAGGTGATGGTTACAGAAGACTCGCCAGCTTCAGGTTTTACACCAACAGGTGCTGAAGACAAAAGCAGAGCCTCGTGGTCGTTCCCCTCAGCGCTGGGCGGAGCCGAGTGGAGCTGCCAACACTAACGCTGCAACGTTGAGCAGTTCAGTAACGTGTTGTGCTCCTCCCAGTCCTTCACAACAAACTGGACACAAAACGAAACGCTTGATAAATTCCATTTTAATGGAAAATGTAAAACCCTTTTGAACTTCAATGTACAAAGCATGTAACACTTGCACTTTGAAAATTGAAATTAAAGTGAGCCATGGTTTACAAAAATACTTCAGTAATGTATATATGTATATATTTACACTTTATAAGTCTTAATTATTTTAAACTTTTACTTCAAAAGTTTTACAATAGTAAATCTTATCAAAAAGCAAGACAATTGTTTTTCTTAAATAAATTACATACTTTTTGTAAATGTCAAAATTTTACAGCAATTTGTTTTCCTTAAATGCTGTGTACACACTTTTTAATCTTTTTACACAAACTTTACAGCATAACAACAGTTTGGCAGTTCATCTTTAGAAAACATATTTATGGCATGAGGACTGCAGAGCATCAACGTTTCACAAAGTTACAGGCATTTGCTGGTGTGAGTGTGAGTGTGTGAGTGTGTGTGTGAGTGTGTGTGTCCTCCATCACAGTGACGACAACAGAAAACCACAGAGGAAGAGAATCAATTCACGATGCAACACATTTATACGACGGCCCTCAGGCATGTTGCTTGTATCAAACCAATGCATGAACAGAGAATAAAACAACAGACGGGGAACAGCCGGAAACAAAGAGGACGAAACAAGAAACAAGGGAGCAGCTGAGGAGCCGACGAACCATCTGAGATTTGTTTAGAATCACAGGCGTCGCTTTGACGCTGCTGGTGACGAGGAGGTGACGAGGAGGTGCCGCCTCCACCATCACTGCTGCGTTCAGCTCAGCCTGAGACTCCCAAGAAGAAATCAGAAGGCATCAAGAAGAGCTCCGCTCTCTGCTCTGTACCGCAGCAGATGGAGTCCAGCAGCTCCTCTGATGCTGCGCCTCCTCTTGGCACTGAAGGTTTGGGGTGATGGCGGAGTCGGCTGTGCCTCCGCGACGCCCCCCAGCTGTAAGCGGACCACATGAGGAGGGTGAAGTGAAGGGAGTCGTAGTTCTGTCTGAACAGTGTGGCTCAGGTCAAACAGGCGTCATGAATTCTCCTCCTTGACGTCAGAGCTGCTCCTCTTCAGAGAGCTCACTGCCTCCTTCACACAGTGGTACAAGATGTTCTTCACCTGAGGAAGAGGAGGACCAGTCAACTCCTGAACCGCTTCTACTTCAGTCTTTACTAAAACAGGGCTTCAAATCAAAAAACAACATACTGGACATGATTCTGTGGAAAGGTTATGAACAGTTAATATCTTACCTGTTGCAGATAACTCTTAAAACCAGAGTAAAAATACAACCAGATAGACAAGTTAATGGCTGGTCGGAGCGGCGCCAGCGACTGGTGGTGCACTGAAACAACTTCATCTCAAACAGTTCATGCTGAAGAGATTTGACACACTTTACACCACTGCCTTTTAGTTTTTACAAACTTATTTCAGCAGAAGTATCGGTACATTTAATCAGAAGTGCTGCCAGCTGCTGAGGCAAATAAACAGAATCCTACACAAATACTAAGTAAAAAGTACTGAATTTATTATTCTTCAAATGACACTGACCAATGAGCAACTAGACATTAGCTCATCAGCGCTGTCCAAATAAAAGTCTCCTTATTTAAACTGAGGATATCAGGTCATGGGGGTCACTGGTGTCCATGTCCCAGAGTCACTGTGTGAGAGGTGGGGACATGCTGGACATGTCTCCAGTCCATCACAGGGACACATAGAGACAAACGAGACAAACAAACGTTCACTCTCTCTCTCACCTAAGAACAATTTAGAGTTACCATCAGTCTAACATGCATGTTTTTGGTCTGTGGGAGGAAACTGGAGCACCCAGAGAAAACCCACGCAGCACGGAGAGAACATGCAAACTCCACTCAGAAAGACCTCTGGACCGGGATTTGAACCGGCAACCTGCTCGCTGAGAGGCAGCAGCTCTACCAGTTGCTCCACTGTGCTGCCATGATCTTGTCAAATAAAAAGTGAAAGCTTTAAACCGTGTCCTTGAGATGAGTGACTGCAGTGTGGACCATCACCTGTAATTTGTCCTCGTAGTTGACCTCCTCCTTATTGGACCGCAGCTCCTGGGTCAGGTGGAAGGACCGGGCCACGTGCTCAGGAGACACAAAGTCGTTGATGACTTGAACGCAGCTATGAAGGTTCTGGACCTAACACAAGAAAAGCATCATACCTGCTCAGCAGCGTATACACTTATTTCTGACTGCACAATCGGATGCAGGAGTCGTGTGTTGTCCAGCTCAGAAAGGGTTAATGACGGCAGTGCCTCAGCCAATCAGAGCGCTCGCTAACAGCACATGACTACACCTGATTCAGACTCTGAAACGCAGCAGCGAGAGGACGTGAAGCCGACAGTTTCAAGTAGAGTCCGACCAATATGGAAATTTTGGCTATCGCCAATACAGATACTGGGGGTGTGTGTGTGTGTGTGTGTGTGGGTGTGTGTGCGTGACCACTGAGAACTGATGTGATGGCTGAAACATTTGGCTTTGTCCACCCCCAAGAATCTAAGAAAACAGTGAGTGGAGTGGGGCTTGTTGGTTTAGCACAGCTGTTAGCATCCACAAAGCTAAGCTAATCAGATCCATCTTTAATTAGTCCCAGTGCGCTGCTCTTTGTTCAAACAGTAATAAGTTCATCACGAGTCATGAGGTCATGAGGACCTCATGCACCCTCTGCTGGAGACATTGTACAATTACAGCTTGATCCCAGCATTTTGGGGGGAAACACGAGTGTTCATATGGACCGATAATGGGACCATTATCGCTGATCCTGACAAGTCCCCAAACACCTGTATCAACTAAATTTATCGTCCGGGCTCTAGTTTTTTTATTCATTCAAAGTTTATTTGTACAAGTTAATCTCTAGTGTAAAGTGCTCAACCGGGATTGAACCAACAGGAAGTGTCACATTGGACAAGTCACCTGACGGCATGGACTAAAACTCACCTTCCCATGAGCCACGCCCACATCTGGTGGGCGGGGCTGTAATAATTGTTTTAATGTAAGCTGCGTGTGATCTGTGTGCTGCAGTAATCACCTGGTGCATGGCCCCCGCAGGCAGAAGAACAGAGTCTCCCAGGAACTGAACCACAGTCCAGCCTTGGACTCCGTGCTCATCCAGCAGCCGCAGGCGCTGCTTCCTGCTCAGATACCACCCATGCTCTCTCACTGGATCCTGGTCCAACGACAGGTCCAAGCTCTGCTCCTTACACAGCTTCAAGAAGGTGAGGACAGGTTAGTGACACATCAGAACCTGTCAGTTTTTCCAGGAGAGCACCAACCTTGTACAGGAACTCTCTGACTTTGTCCATGTCTCTGTTGAGGTAGATGTGCCACAGTGCCCCCGGCGTTTCACTGGAGTCTTTCAGTCGTCTTCGAACGCCCTCATCGAGATCCTCTTCCTCAAGTCGCTTCAGCACTCCTACATGCACAAACCAGTAGTTTTACTAACACACCAGAGCATTTATAACGGTTAGGCTGTAAAAAACGATTTATCGTTAGGTCTTCTGTGAGTCTCATTGGGTCAACAAATAAAAACGCATCTTTTCCACACTCTTCTTTAACATCTAGAAAACTGCAGCAGAACGTTGAGAGAAAACGTCTACATTTAATGTATGAGCTGTAGGAGTTTAAAGAGACCCATGAAGAAAAGAAGCGTTACAGCAAGGTAAGCACACCCCGACTGCCAATTAACGACAGGCAGACAGAAACAGACTGAAAAATAAGCCTCCAATAATCACCTTGGGAAAACTGTAGACCGTATACATTTTAAACTGTGAGCGACAGAAGACCAATGGTCACGTGTCAATTATATTGTCACACTGCTTTTTGTAGGAGATTAGAAAAAAACTTGACTTCCAATTTATTTACAGTATTTATTTATTATCTTTGGCTCAAAAAATAATACGTGGAAGCTTTGGTGTGCACTTTCTGCATTCTGGGGGGATTTTATAAAACAAAACCCCTCAAGTCCTACAGCAGTGAGAAGGAGGACAACATGCCCAGAGGTTGTAGGAGTAAGTTCCACAAGGTAACGTGACATCATCAGCTGGTAGTTAAACATCCTGCGGGAAAATATGTAAAAATACAACTGCAGCTGTCATTGCATAAAAATATATATGAAAAAATATCTAAATGTGGGCAGCACGGTGGCTCAGTTAGTAGAGCTGCTACCTCTCAGCGAGAAGGTCGCGGGTTCAAATCCCAGCCAGGGGCCTTTCTGGGTGCAGTTTGCATGTTCTCTCTGTGGGTTTTCTCCAGGTACTCCAGTTTCCTCCCACAGACCAAAAACATGCATGTTAGACTGACTGGTGACTCTAAACTGTCCCTGGGTGAGAGAGAGAGAGAATGGTTGTCTCATTTGTCTCTGTGTCCCTGTGACATGCCTGCAGGGGACACCTGTCCATGGTGTCCATGAGCAGCAGTGACCCACGCAACCCGAACAGGAAGCAGCGTGTAATGGATCTATATGAAAACGTCAGTTCAGACATGCCGTCCATCTTTCTGTGACCCGCTGCAACTCGTTTGAACGGTCTCTGTGAAGTCTTTCTGAGCTGCAGACAGGACGGAGCATTCTCATCCATTCTGAAACATTTCCCTCTTACTCTTGTTTTTCTGTACATTTTGCTCACTCAAAGACACAGTACTCTATCCTCAGTCATGAAGCAAGTGCTGTGTATAATTTGCATGTTTTGGTTCGAAGCTGCTCACAAAGATGCAGACAACAACTTAACAGGAAAATATTACAGTGCTTCTAATTTGGCAGCTTCAAAAAGTTCTGAATTATTTTGTTAATATACAGCACAGCTGCACATTTACATCTGAATCAATTTAAGGTTTTATTTCAAGTTTCGCTCAAGAAGTTTCAATTCAGTTTATTTATAAATCACAACAAAGTTGTCTCAGGGACTTTACAGGAACATTCACATAAAAGATAATTAGTAAAGTTCTCTATCTGAGGAAGCAGCAGACAAGATGAATCTGAATTGAAAGTTTGACTTTAATAACATTGAAAAAGTAGTTCGGAGACGTCAATAATGTCTAAACAGTGTCAGAATATAATTTAACAGAGACTTCTTAATATGTAAATATTAACAACAGTATTTGTGCATATATATATAAATATATATATTTATATGTTTTATAATTGCTCACTTGCAATTCCAGTTAGGAATTAAAAGCAAAGGAAAGGAAGAAAATTCCAGGTTTAAAGAGAACTTTTAGAAAACGTCTGGGAGTTTTTACCAGTTTTAGACAGGACTCCGTTCCCTTTGGCCACTCCAACATAAACCAGGACCGAGACCACATCTGAGACTTCCACATGGAGGTTGGCTGTCCCAAAGTTCTGGTCCTGGCATGCAGCTACACCTACAGTGGAAGAGGCGGGGCAGAGAAAGACTCACTTAAATAAAGATATTCTGTGTTTGTATCTTTTATTGCCCACTGCCGAAGGCACAAGTTGTTGCTCTAAGTGTTTTTTCCTCTTATGTCATGAAGCAGGAGAAAGATTTTAACCCAACTCAGACGGTGTATGTCATCAAGATATTATTTTTGTTCATATCTCCCAGCCCAAGTGTCAGGTGAACACTGAACAACAGCTGCTGGACTTCTCACCATATGCACAGCAGAGTCTTGGTCCCAGATCTGGCCTGACAAAAAACGATGGCAGGTGGGAGGCCAGATTCAGGTTCCCTTCTGGATCACAATAATCTGGCAGTGGAAGGTTCTTCATCAAGTCATCATATCTGCAAAATATTCAGGCGTTAGTCATCTACATGAATGTCTACTTTGTGCAAAAGAGAGGAAATGTTTTCCAGTGTGAGGGTGGTGGTGGTGGTGGTTGGGGGGGGGGGGGGGGCGAGCCGAAGGAGCAGATTTATCCACCACCAGGTGCAATGGTGGAACCAGGGGGTGGCCAATGGTGGCCCTGGCAGCCATAGAATATTCTTCGGCCACCCAAATCGTACGAGGAGACTATAATTTTAATCTAAAAACTAGAAAGCATAGTTTTCTCAAATGATATGGGTGGGGCATGTAAATTATACATAGAGCCCTGTGATGGACTTGTGACCTGCGCAGGTGTCCCCCACCTCTCACATGGCCACTGCTGGATATGGGCACCAGTGACCCCAGTGAGGTCTGAGCAGAGCTGCTGCTACGGTCTCTGCTCCTCGTTCCGCTCCAGAAGCAGCGGAGCTGTCTGCTGTGGGGGTTGGAGGATTTGGTAGGTGGGGTGGTCTGTTCTGTTGACGGGGTGGGGGTCCTTGGATAATGGTAGGGATAACACTAACACACGCACACATGCACGCAGGAGCGAGCACGTGCGTGGATTTTGATGTGGGGACCACCTATCCTTCGTCACTCCTCGATGCAGCCACGCACCATAATGGAAGTTGACACCCCACACATTTTTCAAGCTATCATACTCATGAGACGGACAGAAGGGAGTTCCAAGTTCCCCCTTCGTTCTGCGATGGGGCACAAAAAGTTGAAGCATGTTTGTACCTTGAAGGCATGAGAGCCATGAACTCCTCTCCAGACGGCCAGTCCTTCAGTCTGTAGACCAGGGGTTCTCCATCTTTGGACTTGGGCCGTTCTGAACATGTGACACCTTCCATTAGACAAAACTTAAAACCATCGGAGTCACAGTGAAACCGATGAAACCTGGACTTACTGTTTATGTCCTCAAATCCATCCCAGAATTCCTTGATCCCAGAGTTAGACACCACCTGGTCTCTACAGTTGAGCAGGTCTCCCTGATGGTCTGCAAACTCCTGGTTGAAAGAATCTGCCCTCCACAGACTGGTGTTTAATCGTTTATGGATCCCCGACACCAACACAGGCTAAAAGTAAACACGCAGATTAACTCACATCTTTACAAACCATGTTTATGCTCTCATGATGAGTACCTGTCCTTGTTTCCAGCATTCTCTGAACAGCTTCCAGTTGTTCTGGTTCCTGTGATCTTTGAGCCACAGTAACTGCCGATTGTTCAGCAAACAGTGGGGGATGTCTGGATACTGACGGACTGAACTCTCCAGGACCACAGCAGACAGGGGGGAAGACCTCTTCCTTTCTGGTTTGACCTCCTCACCAACAGCCGGGGCAGGATTACTGTTGCTGCTGGGGCTGATGTGATCTTGCTTGATTGACAACTTGGTGGTGACGTTCTGACGACTGGCAGGAATTTTATTCTCGACCACCGAAGCAATGATGTCATCAAGGATATTTGGCATGGTCCGCCCGCTTTTGTCAGTCTACAGACCAGCAATATAGTGTCAAATCAAAACCTGCCCTAATTCTCCATTTAAAACTGAAGAACTGACATGACTCAACAGCATGAAACGCTTGTTTTGTATATTACACATACTTGAGTCAAAACATGTAAGAACCCAGACAAAGTGGAGGAAAGGACATGAAAGTGCATGGTTCAAAACTCATGTGCTACAATATCAGATCAATTAAACGTAGCAGTGTGAGCACACTGTTGATCCCATGTCCCAAACACTGCTCTGCATATAAACCAACTCATGGCAACAATCACTCCTGGGTGCCTAACCTTGGTCAGTAAATGCTTTATCAAGTCAATAATGAAGTCTTCAAAAACTGGTACCTGTGAAGCAGTAGAGTAGACAGGAGCAAAGGCGATGCCTGCATCAGTAGAGCCCAGCTTGAGTTTCCCTGCTGTGGTGGTGAGTAGATCTCTGAGTGTGGAGCCCTGCTCTGCTGTACTGCTGGCCATCAGCGCGGTGCTTTTACACTGCTGCAGAACCTCAAGGCTGTCCTCATCCTTCTCTTCTTTCACAGCTTTACCTGCCACCACCGCTTCTTTGTTTTCTGCTTGGGGAAAAGAGGAAAAGCAGAAATAACCTCAATATAAGCAACATGCTTTGTAGAACTTTTATGCACTTGGGGAAATAAAGCCAATGAATAAAAATATATATATATATTTTTATTTCTACACATTTCCATTTCTGACCTTTTTTTTCCTCCCTGGACTTTTGCTCTGCCAGGTCAGCAAGGAAGTGAAGAGGGGACTGGGACACTGGTGGGGTGGCAGCTACACTTCCTGCATCACTTCCAGGGCTGCTTCCTCCACCACCTCCTCCGTTGGTTTCTGCTTTGGCTCCTTCGTGACCAGAGTTCTGCTGGGAGCCTGGCTCAGCTTTCAGAGACAGCTTGTTGCTGTGGTTTAGCACATTTTGCAGCACCTAGCAGACACAAACAGCGCCAACGTAAAGCCTCAAAAGTCTGAACGTCACCAGACTGGTTGGGATTATAATTTGCTCCAACAGATGATCCCGCCCACAGAGCGAGGGAGAGACTCACAAAGCAGACGCAGCTACGCTCAGGATTTTGTTAGAAGTGTGATTACAGATGCATCAATAACTGTTTTACAACTATAATCCTCTGAACTGTAATCAAATCAAGCCGTGAGGTGCATGAAGAGTCATAACTCTCAGTCTCTGACTCTTACCTTAGCCACAAAACCAGACATTTACATAAAACACACAACAATCTTTCACTAGTTTCTAAAATGTATCCTGATCAAGTTCACTGCAAAAGGCAAGATCCGAGCCCAGCAGCTAAAATCCCGTGTAGTACCTGTGAGATCCCGTTGGTTGATGGCAGTTTAGTGAGGACATTCTGTTTGCTGCTGCACGGACAGTGGGAGTTTATGTTGTGTTTGTCTCTCAGGGAGTGCATGGACGTCACCAACTCTGCCAACACTAAAATACACCAGAAAGATAGAATTCAACACATCAGAAAACTGATATTTGTATTATTATAATGAGAACAAAACTACAGTTATCATTAGTACCTCTTTTAATACAAAATAATATGGTGGTAACATTTAGAAAAATGCCACAAAGTTCAAAAAGGCCCATGGTTATAGGACAAAGTGGAAGAGAAACAGTCTTGTATGTAATGTACCTTTTCCAGGGATAATCTGAGTTGGCATGAGATGTTTGTGGTCGTGAGGTTGTCCTTTGACACACTTCAACCATCCATAAAGTTCTTTATCTAAGCACAGAAAAACAAGTGAAACACACTTAAAACAGCCCAATCTTTGTCAACAGTTATTTCAGGCTGATGATCATTTCCAGACCTGCTGCAGACTAAACCAACGTTCGCTCAGTGATAACGTCAGTGACAAAATGAGTGTGAACCCTAACCCTAACCCTAACCCTAGCTCATGCACATTTTGATGCAGACATGTTAACGTGACGTAAATCTACACTCTGTTTCGTTTCATGTGCATCATGTTGTTGGGCTGCTTCAATGCATGTGCTTTCAAACACTCAATACTGCTAATTCTTTCCTCCTGTATCTTGTTGTCAGTTTTGAAATTAAAGATGCAAATTATAAACTAAAATGTGCAGCTCGATCAAGAAGGACCCGTCTTGTGTCGCTCACGGGTTAAGAATTTTTAAGATCGGACTTAATGTGACTGTGTTTGAGGCTTATTTTACAGTCTGCTTCTGTCTGCCTCTCATTAACGCAGCAGTCAGGGAGTGACAAACGCAGCTGCGTGGTTACCAAGGTTACCATAGTGGGCAGTGATTTTAATGCTTGATAAAGCTTGGTTCATTTTACACTTCTTATACAGTCCATAAAATAAAATGTAGGCAGCTTGTCTTTGTTTAGGTGAGTACAAATCATGCTGAGATCTGGAACCTTTCAACATTTCTTCAGACATTTAGATCTGGAACCTTTCAACATTTCTTCAGACATTTCTTTTCAAATGTAACGCCTGTGGCTTAGACGTTTCTGCTGTTTGGACTTTTCCAGCCAACACAAACCCTGACCTTTGGAGCTCCTCCTCTCCTTGGCCTTGTAGCAGTCCAGGCAGACAACAAAGCCACATTTCTGGCACACCCAGTGGATGTTGAAGAGCGTTGCTTCACATGCATCACACATCTCCCTGACCCCCCTCACTGCTCGCTTCCATGCCAGCTTGCCTGAAACACACACGACATGGTAACACTATGATGGAAAATACTAAAGTACTGACGTTTTCTTTACTTTATTGTTATTATATTACACCGGCTGACACAATCTTTGGTTTTATTGCTCCAACACCTAAAAAAACTGAAGCCAAACCCGCTCCATAAAAAACCCTGACTTTACTGTCCCCTCTACTGTGATTTGTTTTTGAAATCTTACTTACATAGCTTTTTTTACGAGAATGTAAAACACTGAAATAAATACAAGTAGATTATTGTTTGCTCATTTCTTTAAGAGAAGTCGATCACGTCGCAGGAGGATTTGCCCTCTCTATCAAAGCAAATGCTCCTGAATCTAAGGTACAGTAAATGCAGCAGAATTTGAATCTGGAGTTTGTTAAGATACAGATGTTGAAGTTGGATAACTCTACTTTCAGGGAGAATATTGTACTTTACTCCTGCAGTTATGAATGATTCCAATTTCAAACTCTGGTAACCCTTATTATAAAAGCAAAGGTTTGCATATTTCAGACAAAAACCCATGCTCCCATGAAGAAACACAGATTGTTTAAAGAAAACGTACCATCTTTTTTAATCCAGCTGGCAGCAGTACTTTCTGTCATAACCATCTGACAGAACTTATCTCCTATGAAAGTGAGAATGTATTTGGCTGTGTTCTGGTCCAGGTGGCTCTCCTCCTCAGGCCCTGGGACCCACAGGGCCAGGGCCTCGTCATCAAACTGGTCTGGGGTGGAGAAGCCATCCATTCGAATAACTCCATTTTTACTGTAGGAAAGCCTGGGCGGTAGAAAAAAGGTTATTAGTCAACCAAAATATAAATATGTTGATTGTACAAGACAAGCATGAATACCATTTCAGAGAATTGATAGGTTTTTGGGGACTCCTATAGCATCATGACTACAGAAAACAACAATGAAATAAACTAGTGACTAAAAAAACTTTAAACATAAACAATGAATGACTTGCTTTAAACTTGAGCTCGATTCATAGCTGGATCAGCTAAATGTGAAAATACAACAAGTCCAAACCAAGAAGCACAGGAATGGCTAAAACTGAACCTAATTCATCAATAATGAGCTAGAGTTTAGAGTGAAGTTCATGAAGTGCTACTCAATGTGCTCAAAACTTTAGCAGTTTAGAGTTGATTGTTTCTCTGTCAGCAAAATATCTTATAAACCACTGGATGGATTTGAATAAAACTTGCAAAAGTCATCACTGGTTGTACGTCCACATCCAGTTACCATAATTTCCAGACTATAGCCGCAACTTTTTTTAAACGGTTTGAGCCCTGTGGCTTATACAACGCTGAGGCTAATCTATGGATTTTTATTAGGGGATTGTTTGGGGGAAACTTTGTTCATCTCCTCCCTGGGGCACAACGAAGCCACTCAAAATAAGTGTGAATCGTACATTAATGTGGCGCCCCGAGCTCGTGGGAGGCTTTGATGACTAGCGGCGAGAAACCGTTGACCAAAACTGTCTGCAAGCTAAGTGCAACTTTTGCTCAAGTCTGTCAGTGGATCCTGACAGCAGAGCAGGGTACAAAGAAAATCCTCTATCACCAACGGGTTTGGAGAAGCAGCTGCACGAGGGAGAAATTGTCATCATTTTTATTTATTTATCATCATTTATTTATTTTTAACCAGCCGTGTTGCAGGCACAGTTCAGAAAAAACTATTACTATATGTATTTGTGTATGTTACTGGTACGTATTTAATTAAAAGTTTAAAAAGTCTTACTGTGTAAATATCTCATGTTACAACATGGACACTAGTGACTTAAAGACAAGCGTAGCCTGCATGTGTACAGTTTTATTTTATTGTTTATTTAGTGGGCACAGCTTATAATGGGTGCACTCATTAGTCCAGAAATTACTGTAACTTTTAGAATAAACACCATTTAAGATGGCTGCTACAACTAACAGTCAAAACAAACATGGCTGTAACTCAGTAAATTATAAACGGTAGATGTTGAGCTGAACTTGCGTGTATCAAGCGAGTGTCATCCACAACACATATTCTGAGAATGGCATCTTGTATCATTCCATGTAACACTGTTTTCAATGTTTGACCAAAACAGCCACAACTCAGTCATTTCTCAACACAGGATCATCCTAATAAAAACCTCAGCAGCATGAAAGGTGACGAGTGAAATGGATACAGAAGATGAACGCTACGAAAATGCAAACGAGAAGAGAGTGGGTTTATTTACCGTCTGAAATAGTAGAAACGACAGAAGACGGGGGAATGTGCTGGCTCCTCGCTTTTTTTACTGCGAAACACCCGACACTCCCGACATTTCTGTAGATTGGGTCCAATTTCTGAACACGAATCATCCTGCAGGAAAGACTCCCCAGTCTGCTTCAGCTTCTTCACTTTCCTCCAGTCCTTCAGCACCGAGCGGGGGATCCCATCTGAACACACATCATTTGGTTCAGTACAAGGCTCAGAAAGAGTTGCTCACAAATCTCAATGGAAGATATTAAACCAAATCAACACAGAAAAAACTACAATAAAAAATCCTATTTCAGGTTCAGATTACAGATGAATTGAATACGACGTTCAATGAACATTTTTAAAAAGCGAGTTTATCAGAGTAACAGCTAATGTGGGGTAATACACCATTAGTTCACTCTGCATATAACCCTTGGTCCGAGTAACTTTATGAATGACAACTCATTTGTATAGACTCTTTCATTCTTTTTAAAACAATATTTTTGTACAAATTAGTCAGTATTACCAATTAGTTCTAGTAACTAGTTGAGGTGTTGCATATTCCATTAAATGAGAACCTTTTATAAATGTTTTATTACAAAAAAGCTACAATGTCAACAGCAGAGAAATTAAAAATGTAAAACATTCTAGTAGTATTTCACCAACAGGCCAGAATGGACAATGAAGAGAGTCTACAAACATGAACATCTCAAGTCTAATGCACTGTGAAAATGTCAAGGGGTGGCATGGTGGTGCAGTGGTTAGAGCCCGTGCTTAATGTGAGCAGGATCCTGCCGGAACAGGATCTGGGAATTCTCTTATTTTGACAGGGTGTATTCCAGTAACAGTTTTTTAGGATCTGGTAACTCTCAGGCTTAATAATAATAAAGTTATGAATAAATATAACTGCCTTGAACGAATAAAACCTATATTGGATATGTAATGTGAAAATAATTACTGCACATAAACATAAATTATTTTAAACACAATAGCCACTTATGAGCTTCCTAATACCAATAAGAGCTGCTCCTTCAAGTAAGCATTTCTGCTTCAACCCTTAAAAAAATCTCCACCCATAAAAATACTGTCATGGGCAATTTAATTAAAAACACAAATATATAATAAAACAGCACAACTAAATTGCAAATCAGTTTTACAGTTTAAGTGGGTCATTAATAAAATATTGATTTTTTATTAAAAATATGAGAGAAATGTTTGACCACGTTACGTACAAAAACAATAGCAGCGATTTGTCAAAATAACAGCGACCAAAATGCCAAAGACAGTCCAATTTTATTTATTTTAAAACGTAGTCCTCATTGTACAAGTAAACAACTGAGAACGGAAGCGCCTAAAGGGAGTGGTAATGGAGATGGTACTGGAGCAGGTGTGAGTGGTGGAGGTGAGTGCCAAGCTAGCCAGGCTGTCCTCCTCAGGCAGGAGCCCACAGCCAGCTGCCATGAACAGGAGGCTTGGGGTTTCACATGTGGAGGAGGACAACAAGGAGGACGACAGTGAATTCAGCGGAGAAGAGTCTGGCTCTGAACCATCAAGTGAGGAATGTCCAACAATTTGAATAGCTGCCCAGTTCAAGACCAAGCAGACCTATCTACAGCTTGTAATGGAAAAATCAGGTTTGGGTTGATGGGGGGTGTTAGGATGCTTGGAAGAAGCGGAGCGTGCTCTATTCACACAAGGGGAGCTGTTGGTCAAACTTCTTGTGCCGCGCTCTCTAAAATAGTTATTGATTCGTGTTTACTTATGTAGACGTAGATGTTTAACCCATTAAAATACACCAGAATGCAGGAAATGGCATCTACCTTATTCAAAAATTTCTGGGGGAGGACCCTCGGACCCCCCTGCTATTTGCGTTCCAGCATCGTTTGATTTACAAATTAAGCCCTGGTTAGAGTTGTCACCTCACACAGTACCCTGAGGAAAAACACTCATGTACTCTAGTTTCCGCCCACTGACCAAAAACATGCATGTTAGGTTAATTGGAAACTCTAAATTGTTCGTAGATGTGAAGTGAATGGTTGTCTAATTTGTTTTTATATGGCCGTGATGGACTGTTGAACGTTCCAGGGTGCCCCACCTCTCACCTAAAGACCAGCTGGAGATAGACACCAGCTCTTGAGAACCAACACCAAAAAGAGGTAAAGAGGTAAATTGCCCATCCTTGTCCAATGTTTGTCCCGTATCAGTGACTGGCTCGCCAGTAACTTCCTGGTTTTAAACACCAGTAAGACAGAGACTGTGATTACTGCTCCCAGTCACCTTCATCCAAAAATCAATCAGAAAATTGTCTCTTTCTGCTCAGTAGCCAAATCAAAAGTAAAAAATTTAGGAGTCACATTTGACTCATCATTAGGCTTTGAGTCTCACATTAGAGATATTTCTCGTTCTTGTTTCTTTCATTTAAGAAACATTTCTAAAATATGACCTGTGGTCTCCAGAGTTGATCTAGAGAAAATTATTCACGCTTTTGTGTCATCACGTCTGGACGACTGATGTCCTTTTTACCTGCCTGGACAAGTCTTCTGTCTCACGTCTACAAGTGATACAGAACACAGCTGCCAGACTTCTCACCAAATCCAGCAAATACTGTCACATCACTCTGGTTCTGTATTCACTACACTGGTTCCCAGTCGAGTTCAGAATCAGTGTCAAAGTTCTTGTGCTGAAGGACAGAGCTTTAAATGGCTCCTGTGTATCTTTGTCAGATTTTAACCAAACACTCTGCTGCTCGTGGCCTTCGCTCCCAGACACAGAACCTCTTGGATGTTCCACGTAGGCAGCTGAAAACTAAAGGGGACGGGGCCTTTCAGCCAGTGGCCCCCAGGCTGTGGAGGCGGGGCCTTTCAGCCAGTGGCCCCCAGGCTGTGGAGGCGGGGCCTTTCAGCCAGTGGCCCCCAGGCCGTGGGGACGGGACCTTTCAGCCAGTGGCCCCCAGGCTGTGGGGACGGGGCCTTTCAGCCAGTGGCCCCCAGGCTGTGGAGATGGGGCCTTTCCGTCAGTGGCCCCAGGCTGTGGAGACGGGTACTTTCAGCCAGTGGCTCCCAGGATGAGGAGACGGGGCCTTTCAGCCA